ATTATCATTTTATAAAATAGAGTTACTTTGTGACAAAAGCGACGATCGGTTAAACTTGAGAAGCCGGACTCTTTGTATAAAACTGAGTGGGAAGTTCCCCGAACAAGACCTGTTATAGTGCGAATTGCATCCAAATTGATATTTTGTTCCATAAAACATCAGCATAATCAAATATTGGTAAAATGAATTGTTTGTATATAGTTTCTAGAGATTTCCTGGAGAGTCTGTATTTTAAGCTACGAAGGCAATCGGTCATTTTAGAAGTTTTGGAAATTAAAAAATCAATATGAGAGCTCCACGAACCAGACTTATCAAAAACTACACCTAAATGTTTATGCTCATCGGAGTCATTTAAAACTATATGATTAAAATTAAGAGTAAAAAGCGACGGTTCATGTTTCCTGGAAAAAGTCATGCATTTAGTTTTATGAGGATTAAAATTTACTTTCCACTTGATAGACCACATGTGAATCAAATCTAAATCATGGTTAAGGGTGTTTCACTTAAAATATAAAGGTTAACACACATTTGTGATGTCATAATGACTTTAAAAGTTAATCCAAGATTACCCTTCATTTTCTGGTCCCAATGTTGCGCATGCATTTGTATAATGACTTCAAGAGTTAATCCAAGATTACCCCTTTTGTACTAAACCTTGGTCCCAATAGAATATCTGTAACTAAGATTAGTTTATGTCATGATGACTTCAACATTTAATCCAAGATCATGTCATAATGAATAATCTTACCTACAAAAAGAAAATTCTTCGCCCTTTTCAAGTTTTAAGACAAAAAATACAGATTGTTATTTCCATGGTTTATAAGGTGTTTACATTTGTGAGTGTTCCATAAAAGTATTATATTGTATGGTAACTCTAGTGGAAGACACTGATTTAAGTACCAATCGCAGTATATTTAGTAAACTATTAACTTGATACTATTCAGAACTAGCAGGTGTCTAATCTAATGTTTTAAGTGTAATATTTCCTGTATAAACTACCTACTCTTCACTAGATGGCAACTGGAGATAAGTTCAATTTTTATCTTGAGGACATGTATCACTATAGTCAAGTAGAACATGTCACAGTTCTTGTTCTGTGTTGGAATGGAAAGGCTATCTTCACAATGTCAAGCTATTAAGCCTTTCAACCCAGGTGACTGCTCTACCGGCCATATTATTACGTTAAAAAATACCCAAGCGGCCCATACCATGAGACATCACAAAATGTCAACGTCATAAGCTTTAAAGAGACAGGTGTGTCGTTTCTAGGGGTTGAATATATGTAAATAGTCTTCAGAAGTACTCGAAATGTACGAAAATCTCACAATTCCTTAAAGGTGTGGGGAGGCTTTTGAAGGGTTGAGATGTCGGGCAAAGCAAGACTCTGAGCACCGAAGACACAAATCTGTGAAAACACTCCTTGTCTGCCCTAGGTGCTTTCGGGCTTGTTCAAAATGATAATATTTGGACTGCCTCGCTTGTCTCCTACACCTAAGGCCTGTGTACTTTTCAATGGTGTATAAATAGAATCTGAGTAAGATTAAGGTTAGCAAGTTTTGTTGATCTGTTTTGTGAGTGTTTACCTTTGACAGTGATGGCGTATTTCTATAAGTGAAACCTTGGATTTGTTTTGCCTGAAAATATATTTTGATTGATGCCATTTTTGTGTTTTTGTCCTTTTCAACCGTTATAAAGCAATTTAAACCACACATGCTTCAGAAATTTCAACAGATACATCATTGAGTTGTAATGGGTAAGAGGTCACAAGCAGAGTCTGACTTATTTTTACCTTCAGTTCCAAGAATCTGGTGCCGCAACTGTAAACGATGCTCTTCATTAAAGGGACAGTTTCACCATTTTGGGGGGTTTGATTTGAGCCTTGAATATCTGTAGACAGTCTTCAGAATTATTAGAAATGTACGAAAATTGCATAATTCATTCAAAAATATCTCAAACTAGGAATTTATTTTCCTATTTCTATAGATATCTATTCTATATATGGCAGTATCTTGAGAACAGATGTCTCATCTGTTTAACTTTCAAACGCTGATAATTCTGGACATACATGGATTTAAAGGCTCCTATTTTGATGGTGAGCTGTGAACACTATTACTGATTAAATAAAAATAATTCGTTTCTGAGACTAGGTTACGATTGGTCAAAAATGGCAAACCTGTTCCTTTAAAGAGTTGTAGCGCCTGTTAGTGTAAATCTTTTCGGACAGCTTTATTTATGCTCAGCAGAATATATGTCCTGGGCACTAAATAAAATTAATGTTGGCTTCATGCCTTTAAACACATACAAAAAAGGAAGAAAGAAACCACCAGCTACCAGCTGGTCCTTCGCTGAACTTCTTGGCATTGATCTTTCTTGGATATTCCTCACAGATGAGTTTATGGATTCACGAAGACTTATTCAAGGTCAATGAGTTATTTCACACACTGACCGAGACTACAACCCACGACCACCATTTATTTGACTTTCACACGCCAACCATGTTTAGAATCTGTTTATAAAATAATCAACAAAAGTAGAAGATATGGACTAAATTAGCTTTCATTTGACATTTTCATGTTACTGGTGGTGATATTATTCTTTTAGATTGTGTAATCCAATATAGATTACATGGGAAAATAGATTTGGTGCCAAGTAGAAATCGAATTGCCATATGTAATGAAAGTAAGTCACATGACATCTGGCTTAACCTGCTTCTATAAATAAATTGGCACTCTTAAAGTTTGAATGTCAATAATCATTTGTCAAGTTAGTCGAAAAAAACCTTATTAATCATGGTGTCTTGAAACAGGTTTGGGGTTTATTCCTAGCCAACTTTTGATAAATATGACCCATAAATGGATTAATTTTCTCAAATTTGGGCAAGTTGAAGTAAAATATTTGTCATCGGTATAGTGGATTTGTCTTCCAATCATACTTTAGTCTCAGAAACTGGAATTTTTTAGCTGAGCTAATCAATTATAGTGTTCACAGCTTACAGTTGAAATGTGAGCCTTCAAATCCATGTTTGTCCAGAATTATCTCTGTTTGAATGTTAAAATGACGACTCATCAATTTAAGATATTCTGTGATATATAGAAAAGACATTTATAGAAATAGTCAGTAAAATTTCTAGTTGGAGATATTCTTAACGGAAATATGCGATTTTTGTACATTTCTACTACATCTGAAGAATATTTACATATATACAAAACTAAAATCAACCCCCTCCCAAAATGGCCCACTTGTCCCTTTAAGGTTCTCCAGTACAATACTGCTTGAGGGTATTGGAATCTAGTTTAAATAATAGTAGGTTTTTTTCTTAGTAGATCAAAAGGTCTAACTAAAAGATGATTGATGCTACTATATTACCCCTCAGTGGAAATTAAACAGTTGTTTCTGTATGAGAAATAATGATGATTAACGTACAATTATACTCTATCACAACTACTGTCTTCTCCCTCTTGTCTGTAAATCGAATTTGGAGACTTATCTTGATGAGAATAGAAAGATCAACTTCAAATAGTAATAATAGTCTGAGAATGACTTTAGAGCACTTATCTTGAAGTTATTCCTACAGAAGGCAATCAAATTAATGTGATTTCCAGTTCTTTGAGTCAAATTTATGTTAACTTTCAAAACATGCTATGCAAATTGGTTTCAAAGACTATTCATTACTGTTTTAAAGTGATATTACGTCTTAGAATGAACATAAAATTTAAGTTCTCAAGAATGGTCAGTATGAGTATATATTCATCAGTGAACTTACCTGGTGTCATAAAGTTACAACAGAATCCCTGTAAAATCTAGAAAATTGGGAAATTCATAAAACTAAGTAATTATTGAAAAACGCTTAATCTTAATATTAAGCGTTTTTCAATGGTTAATTGCATATTTATTAAGTATTTTTGGATTTATCAGATTATATAAGGATCCTGTTATGTTATTTATGACACCAAGTATATCTACTGATGAATATATGCTCTCATTGGCGAAGTTTAAAATTTTTAAATTTTATGTTTATTCTAAGACGTAGTATCCCTTTAAAGCTGATAGTGAAATATTTCTAGAAATAATAAGTAAATAGCCATTTACCGATAAAAGTAAGAAACCAGTGCTAGTAGAATCTCAGTTTGTATATTATATAAAATACATAAATAAGTATGTCAATTCTAGTAATGCGTTTAGGTAGCTTAACTATCAGCTGTTCTTGCGACCCTGTTTTTGTTAGTAGACTGTATGTGATTGGTTAAACTAAACTTATTAATTTGATGAGAATTGGAATAGCAGCCTCAAATTAGTACTGTTAGACTTAAAAAAATGTTTTTGCGTTGATGAAAATATAACCATAAGCACACATTGTCTTCAAAATTTGTTTTTCCAGAGGACCATTTTTAGCCAAAATCTGTGTCTATTTTGGGGTTGAAATTTCTAAGAGAGAAATGTGTTTCTTTTCAATGTAAACTTACAACAGATTATATTTCTATCAATGCAAAGACAATCTAAGACTATCAGTACTATTTTGATGCTGATATTCTAATTCTCTTGAAAAATATCGAAAAAATTCAACTTGCACAGACAATAGTCGTCTAACACACTATTAGTGATGTTGCTGGTTGGCACGATTCATCAGAGACTGATTATTTTATGGCATTTACTACCATAATGATGGAGTGTGAAAGGGTGGGTGGAAATCGTCTATAAATGTTCTCTAGGGATATTATGTAACTTGAAATAAAATAAAAAGTAGAATTTCACAATCTTTACTACAGAGTGCCGTAGGTACCATTTGGTTAGAACAGTGTCATTAGCTTACTTACACACCATTGGCGTGAAAGGCAGGTTAATTCACGGAGGTATTATCTCAATCTGTTGTTCTGTTTTAAATCTCATGACTACCTTCACACCAGATTTCTACTTGTCAATGATGTAGGTCGGAAATGCTGACATGGAAAAAGAGTCAATTGTTTTCGTTGGGACAATAAACCAAGGCCTGGTGTGCCACAGGCTGTATCCTGCCAAATTATGACATGCAAAAAGCATCTATTGTTTTTGTTGGGACAATAAACCAAGGACTGGTGTGCCACAGGCTGTATCCTGCCAAATTATGACATGCAAAAAGCATCTATTGTTTTCCGTGGGACAATAAACCGAAGCCTGGTGTGCCTGGGTTGGAGAAGGAGTCTTTAAAGTCGCCAAGCTGATTTGCATTATGAGCCTCGTTCTGGATTCAATATGGCCGACTTATGAATAAGATCTATTCCTCCTTGAATTGAAAATCTTGATACTTACAGCTACAAAGAACTGTTACTAACCACAATGGTATTTGAAAAGAATATAAGGGCAAAAGTGTTTGACAGTTGATGTCTTTGCCATTAAGGACAATGTGTCCATGCATTTTCTACATTAACCACTTAGTCAATTTAGTTGAGCCTCAATGCAACTATTATATTGTTTTAAGTGGTTTTGTGCAATTTTTCAGATTAGCTTTAAATGGTTAAAAAATCAGTTCTTTTTAATTAGTTCTTATCTAGTGATTTATGACAGTAAGGGCATGCTTTGTTTTCCTGTGAAGTCTACAACAGTATTTAAACTATTTTGTCATGTTTGTGGAAGGTTTAGTTTGGAAACAATAAGTCAGTATGCCGACTTGAAATTGTGCTAAATAATGTAAGGAGGAAGTAAATGCCAGTCAAGTTTCTTTTTACGAAAATTATTATTGTGAATAATGACGTTCAGCAGACAATGTAAATAGGCCTCATGTTACATAAAAGGTAATATGCCAATATGTGGTTCAATGTGTTGAACTATTGTTTTAGCAGATTGTTACACAAGGAACAATTAGTCTCATATGAAGGAAGGAATAGGACACTAATTTTCTGTTTTTGAGCAAAATATATTACAGGGACAGCTCACCATTTTGTGATGTTGATTTGAGTCTTAAATATATGTAAATGGTCCTTAAAAGTACTAGAAATGTACAAAAATTGCATAATTCTTTCAAAAATATCTCAAACTAGGAATTTCTTTTCCTATTTTTATAGTTGTCTTTTCTATATATGGAAGTGTCTCTTTTTTAACTTTCAAACGCTGACAATTCTGGACACACATGGATTTGAAGGCTCGAATTTCGACGGTGAGTCGTGAACACTATTACTGAAAAATTACTAAAGTATGATTGGTCAAAAAAATAATGCACTTGCCCCCTTTAAACTGGCAAATTACTTCTTCAATGTTTTCAATAATTGTAACAATGTTTTGTTTATAACTGAAAATCAATCAAAAGATTAATGTCGACTGGACAGCCTTGAAAATGGCCAACTCTTTTGGATTCAGCTTTGTCGTCTGACAGTGTGATTGATAAGACTAATTTTTCCGTGTTCTATTCATGATTTTGATAAAATAGATGACAGATGTAGGGAAGTAATGTGTCCGTAAAAAGATTGGAAAAATGAGAATGGGCAACATAATGCAATGGCTGACATTTTTTATAGGAAGTACAGCAGCATCAGCCTTGGTCTTTCTGGTTTCCCTTTTAAGGAGCTGACAGTAGGCCTAGCGTAGTGGCAATCGAGAATGGGCAACATAGTGCAATGGCTGACATTTGCAGCATCAGCCTTGGTCTTTCTGGTTTCCCTTTGAAGGAGCTGACAGTAGGCCTAGCGTAGTGGCAATCGAGAATGGGCAACATAGTGCAATGGCTGACATTTGCAGCATCAGCCTTGGTCTTTCTGTTTTCCCTTTGAAGGAGCTGACAGTAGGCCTAGCGTAGTGGCAATCGAGAATGGGCAACATAGTGCAATGGCTGACATTTGCGGCATCAGCCTTGGTCTTTCTGGTTTCCCTTTGAAAGAGCTGACAGTAGGCCTAGCGTAGTGGCAATCGAGAATGGGCAACATAGTGCAATGGCTGACATTTGCGGCATCAACCTTGGTCTTTCTGGTTTCCCTTTGAAAGAGCTGACAGTAGGCCTAGCGTAGTGGCAATCGAGAAAGGGCAACATAGTGCAATGGCTGACATTTGCAGCATCAGCCTTGGTCTTTCTGGTTTCCCTTTGAAAGAGCTGACAGTAGGCCTAGTGTATTGGCAAGCGAGAATGGGCAACATAGTGCAATCGCTGACATATGCAGCATCAACCTTGGTCTTTCTGGTTTCCCTTTGAAAGAGCTGACAGTAGGCCTAGCGTAGTGGCAATCGAGAATGGGCAACATAGTGCAATCGCTGACATATGCAGCATTAGCCTTTGTCTTTTCAGAACCCAACTGCAAAGTGGTCAAGTTAGTGTACAGCCTATAGCACTTCACTTTATAGCCTCATTTGTACAACCTTGTCTCTTCAAACCCTCCAACAGGCATTTCAACTTGAAAAAACAAACTCTGGAAAGGATTCAAAGCCTGAGCAAGTGTCCATCTTGCTGATTTTTCATGGTGAGCTACATTTTAATTGACACTTAACATTATATTTATTTATTTATAAATATCAGCAGATTAATTCACCATTCTGACATTTTTTGGTAATACATATGTATCTGTTTCATTATTTATTTTTTTTTAAATATTGATTTAGTAGTTATCACAGGATAACTATATTACATATTTTACTTCAGTGAGAGATAGACTATGTTGGTGCTTTCCTATTTGTAGAGTGTGTTTTATGTTGACCAGCTGTGACGTTTGTGCCACCAGGTAGGGTTTGCTTCCTCTTCTAGACACCTGATACCACTTTTCATTATAAAATACTTACTCATTTATGATTGATATACTTCCTGATGTGAAAAGTTCATGAGCTGCTTCCAATATTTCGTTAAAGTTACAGTTTTCAGGTTCTCAGGTTCTCAGGTTTTCAGGTATTCAGGTTATCTTAAGAACTTTACTTATTACAAAGTGAATATCTGTTTAATAATGTCTTCATAGAAAGTTGTTTCAAATTTTTCAAAAGAAAACAATGTATCCTTATGATGTTTTATGGGGTTTTCTGGCCTATAATTTCTTAAACTAATGATATATAATAACAGTCAATCGGTTAGATTAGTAAAGACCAATAGTTTATGGGGTTAATGAATGATAATACAGTAAAACACAGTCAAGCTATCTTTGGATCAGAAAATGTTAATGCTATCGAGTTAATGAAGCATACAAGTACAATATTTAATACCATTTCCGTGTTTTTGACATCAATACAACGTTTTAGATATAAATCTACTGAAGAAAGTTGGCTCCCTGGAGAGTTAATATTCAATTCAATATTTTTTAGACTTGACATAAAAGGAACAAAATTTTCAGATGAGGTCCCATTTCCTAATTTTCTGTGTCTGCTTTTTTGCTGAGAAATTTGGCTAGGACACTGGCTTTTATCTTCTTTTTTCCGATTTCCATTTGATAATGATCTTTGAATTGCACAGTCTGTAGCACATTTCCTCAGTTCTTTTTTTCAACCTGGTTTCCCCCGTCAGTGATGCAAGTAAGTGGGGCTGACATGGGAATAGCGTCTAGTCGTTCTGATGGGACAATAAACCAAGGCCCCGTTTGCACGTAAAATAATTCCTGGACAGTTGGAAATAAAAAATACAGGCTAATGCCGCTGTCCTGGTAAAATTTCTGTCATTGTATCCTACATGGCGTTGCCCATCTTCATTAGCCCACATGGTGCAGAAAAGTAGGACATACAACTCCATTCATTTCATTTTTCCCTCAGTTCTGCATCACTGGCAGAGGGAAACCAGTTTGGAAAATCTGGAGTTATTATCCATGCCAGGATCTTCAGATTAACAAGCATACAAGTTACTCTGGGAACAACTGTGGCGCCCTCGAGTAACAAGTTTCAAAGCACATCAAATGATAAGGTAAGAAGTGTGAAGCCAGAAGTCATAGTGCACAGCCCATCAAGAAATGACGTGCTGAAATCAAGTGCCATTGGAAATTGGCACCTAACCTATGATTAGTGTGATTTAATAGAGAACATTGACATTTAAATGTCATGGATAACCAATTAAGACATAACCTGTAGGTAAATACAGAACATTGTCATGATAGAAGAAAATAAACCATGTATGATTACGAAATAAATTGGTTAGACTGATGAAAATGGACACGTTAGATTCATGTAGGAGAGGTTATTGATAGTCTACAGATGTTCATCAACTGTTTAATGGTCATTTGTGGTTTAAGTTGTGGATTGTTTCAATGTAAATTGTGTTTTGAGACTGACGAAAAATAAATGTCAAATCAACCATATTAGCTGTGAAGACTGTCTGAAAGGGAAGTTATGACGCCAATCTCAGACGTATAATGCCATCAGTTGCTCAGAAGGACCTCGTCCGGCCTTGATTTCAACACCTAGCTCAGTACTATAAGGGGAGCTCAAATGCTTTAAAGTTTGTGGACTTTGAGGCATATGCCTTGAGCTATTATGTTGAAGCCTAGTACAAGTTGAGGCCACAGAAGTGTCAAAAGGGCATGCCGGCTATTCTTTACCAATAAATTTGAAGGTATCAAAGCTAAACAAGCCTCAGTTCTAGGGTGGAAGTTGGGAGGTGGTTGTGAGGGGTGAATTGGTTAAATTATCTGGCTGTTGAACACAGTAACAATCAGTTCCAGCAGTATAGCTTTCCTTGTATTCTGTTGACTAAATGTTTTCTTTGCATGCCAGTGCAAGTCCGTACGACCTAGGTATGGAATCAAGAGACACAACATTATAGTTTTGATTTTGACCATATTTGGTATGTACATGTATATTGCATGTATATTGGATTTTTCAGCCTATATATATTTATGGTGTAAATAATTGTACTTGATTTTGGCATAAATCATGTATGTTGAAATGATTCATATAGTTTTTAATTGCTACATGATTCAGGTTCTGTTTTAACATATCTAGTTTTAATTGTATAAAATTATAGCCATGCAGTTAAAAAATCAAATCGAATTACAAAAATTCCCCTTGATGTATAATTCCCTTTCTAAATTGACTCCTTGGGAAATTGAATTCATTCCTTGAGGTATACTTAGACCCTAGTAGAGAAGCACTGCTCTAGATAAACTGGTAAAAGATTGATTTAATAACTTGATGCAGAAAGTTCTTCTGTAAGTTCACTTTGCTAGTGCTCTTATAGTTATAACTATTTTGGGGAGTTGATTTTAGTCTTGAAAATATATAAATATTTTTCAGAAGTACTAGAAATGCACGAACATGGCATAATTCCTTTAAAAATACTTCCAACTAGGAATTTTACTCAATATTTCTATATATGTCTTTTCACAGAATATCTTAAATTGACTAGTTGTCATTTTAACAATCAAACGCAGATAATTCTGGACACACATGGATTTGAACACTATTACTGATTAGCTCAGTTAAAAAATTCCAGTTTCTGAGACTAAAGTATGATTGGTCAAAGAAATGGACTACCTGTCCCTTTAACTTTTGTGAATTAAATACATTTCTTTGATGTCACCAAACCTGGTAATGGATTAGTGATCGTGTTTTTTATCACATATATTGTGAAAAAATTAACACCATCTATGAAAATACAAACAAAACATGTATTTAGAGACTCATTATGGACACTGTCGGCCAATCAACTTGCTTCTGGGATTGCTTTTGTTTGCGTCACCAAATCCAAGCATTGCAGACGGCAGAAATTTGATTTGATGGTGGTGAAATCAAATGGACAAATGTCTTTTGACCCCAATTGAGGTGGCTCAATTAAAAATTAAAGCTCATAAAAAACGGAATAAAAGTTTAATTTTATCTAAACTGAACATTATTTAACGAAGCCCGTCGGTGGCCATTGTATAAACATCTTAATTTGGACATTCAGATACAAAGTTACAGAAAGCTTGTCATCAGTTCATGGTTTTAGCTCTTTTAACAATGAGGTTGATATAGCTACATCACAAGGAACAGCTTTTGACAGCTAATCTATTGAAATTTGAATATCATATTATTATTTTATTTATTTACATAATTGTAAATGTACAGCACTTTTAAAACACTAATTTGTTGGGAGACATTATGGAGAGACTGTTGTCATTATGGAGAGATTGTTGTCATTATGGAGAGACTGTTGACATTATGGAGAGACTGTTGACATTATGGAGAGAGTGTTGTCATTATGGAGAGACTGTTGACATTATGGAGAGACTGTTGACATTATGGAGAGAGTGTTGTCATTATGGAGAGACTGTTGTCATTATGGAGAGACTGTTGTCTCGGAATTTTAATAAAGAAATAATTTTCCATTTGAAACACAAAATGAACATGTTTGCAAAATAATTAAGTCCCATTTGTGAAATCTCATATTTTTTCAACAAAATGACACAACACAGTGAAATTATGACAGATAATATAATATACAAATAATTGCCAACCATAGACAATTTAAAAATATTATTGATTCAAATTACCTACTTGCATTAAGAGAGAAATATTTTGACATATCAATTATGGTGAAAGCACAGTCAAACTAGTTCACTAGCCCCCCAAAAGAAAATTTTGCCCCCAACCCTTGGAAATTTTATAAAATTTGAATGACTTGTTGAGTCGCTATAGTTGAGCCCTCGTTTAAAAAATTTGACCATCCCCCCCCCCCCCCCTCCCCTTTACTAAAATATTTTTGGGAAATTACCATAATAAATATTAGTTATGACAATAACGCTGTATTAGACCACAGTTACTAATATGCAAGCGATTTCTTGATATGATAATATACGATACACAAACTGTAGCAGTTATATACAGCAAATATCTCAAATATTGCCAAATTCTATGTGTGATAAAGTTTGACGCTGCCTTGAAAACCAGATTTTATGAACCACTTAGGTTAATGATGTCCTTATTTTCCACACGTGTTATTGTCAAGCAGTTTTAGTCTGAAACATTTCCCTATTGTGAAAAGTTGGGAGACTGTGTCATCTGATAAAAGCAGATATCGTTTGTTTCAGATATAGAAATATTAATACAGAACCTGAAACATGTTGTCTGAAGATCACACAGAGAAAAATCCTCATTATTACCATGTTTTCAGCAACTTTTTTGAGCATTATTTTAACAGTGAAAATTTTGTGATTGTTGCAGATATATCTGGGTTTGGCTCTCTAATTAGGATTTGCTTAAGAATGTTTGTCATAGGACTGGGTGATATTGGTTCAAGTTGATATCACAATATGGCTATGGGTATATATCGCAATGTTTCATAAGTATGGTTTTTACTGGTTTTTGATACAAAATGTTGTTGTCTTTGTAACTTAAAAGTTAAAAAACCCAATAAATATCTCGGTCTTAAATAACATGAAAAAACATCTGTTTCAAATATTAAGCTACTTGTTGGAATTATGTAGATGATCTTATCTGGACAAAAATTTAACAATATATCTTGATAATTACCATATATCACGATATGGCAATATTTCCTTATTTTTGACTCAGACTATATAAATAAAAACCTGTATAAGCAAGACAATTTTGTTAATTAAAATTAACGATATAAATTCTGGTACGGGTATATATCATGATACTTGTATATTGTTTGTCACATATTTCATCACAAATTTTTCGTTGAGTCTCTGTATCTAATCAATGCACTAATAGATGGAAATTAAGGACACAAGAAAGAAACGATGATGAGTGAGTAAGGAAAAAAAAGAGTTCAGTTTTTAGTGAAAACAAAGGCAGTGTGGGCAAGCTTTGATCAGAATAACATTAAATGTACCATGTATAGGACTAAGACATTGCCATGCAGTATGCAATGAGGGAAATTGTCAAATCAAATAGGTGGAGTTTTGCATCCTACTTTACAGCTTACTCTGTTTTCGATCACAGCCTATAGCACACATCTGTACCATCTGAATGACTAGATGCTTTTTGTATCTCTTTTTCTTATCACTGACAGGGGGAAACTGGGTTGAAAAATCTGAAGGTATTATCTCAACCTATGCTGGGATTGAACCCTGGACCTTCAGGTTAGCGAGCAAGCATCTAACTCACTGAACCACCACATCAATGCTGGTGCTATTAATATACTTATCTAGTCTTGTATAACATCCTATTGTGGGAACTAATATCATGGAGGTGTAAGTAATTTGTTTAGAATTCAAAATTAATAGATAAATTGACAGTGAGTCAGTCACATGCTTGAAATTCCGTGATGAACAACGTTAAATTCTTTGCCTGATCTGATTTTGAAGAATAGATCTAAATATAATTAAATTTTTCAAGAGGCTTGTTTGATAAAAAAGTTCTGCAGGCCTGTCAATTTCTCCCACTAAACCAGGTTTCAATTGAAATTAAGTGGTTTCTGAAGAATTCTGATATTTTTTTGTTAAGTATGATGGATGTACATGTATATTTTTTTTTTTTTTTTTTTTCAGGAAATTATATACATGTGTTCACTCCGTACATGTAATTTTTATTTTTTCATGAAGTGATGTACATGCGTTTACTCAGTACATGTAAATTTTATTTTATTTTTTTTTCATGAAGTTATGTACATGCGTTCACTCAGTACATGTAAATTTTAGTCTGATGGAGCTTTTGGACTTGCGACTTAAACATTATCAGTGCTGAAAACTGAAATACCATTGGTTTAATGCATAACAAATAAAAAAAATGAAATAAAAAAAAAATAAACATCTAACTTATCTACAATTGAATGGGATAATGAAAATAAACACATTCCAATTTACTGTCAATATAAAGAGATATCTGAGGAATGTATGACTGTATTAGGCTACCAGTTCCAGTTTTTAAATTCCTGACAGTAGAAGTAAATGAGACCCTGGTTTTTGGTCTTTTAAAGATTATCACCATTATTTTGAAAAAACCTATAAAAACTATTATTCACCATTATTTTGATACCTATCAAAACTATTATTCACCATTATTTTGATTTTGATATAAACCTATCAAAGCTATTATTCACCATTATTTTGATACAAATCTAAAGAATCATTATTTGACAGAAACATATCCAAATCATTCTTCACCATTATTTTGATAAAAACCTATCAAAACTATTATTCACTATTATGTTGATTTAAACCTATCAAAACTATAATTCACCATTATTTTGACATAAATCTAAAAAATGAACTTATTAAAACATTATTTACCATTATTTTGAAAAATCTCTATCAAACCTATAATTCATCATTATTTTGACATTAATCTTTCAAAGCTATTATAAAGCCGGCAACACACTTGGTGGTAAAAAGGAAGCTTACAATAGATTTTAAAACGCTTTGTTGGTATTCAAAGAAACAGAAATTCAATTATAATCTAGAGAAATCATCCTGACATAATCACAGATGAGATAAAGTGATATTGAGGTTTAATTCACTTATTGTTGGCCTTCTAGATTGCTTCACGGTGAAAGCAAACAGTAAAATACCGTAGAATAACTATTACAAGATATAATATCCAGTCGGAATTAGTCATAGGAGATTACTGTAATTTACTGACCCACAAATCTTGAAGAGTTATCATCATGTAATTTGGATCATGGAGTATAATTTCAACTTGATGATCCTAAAGCAAATAGAAAGATGGTTATATTCCTCAAATAGAGTGAGCAATCAATGAAACTAGGAAGTTGGTAAAGAGTTCGGAAGAACTGAATTAGATAAGACACAATTTGAATGTCTAGAAGCTGAAGAAGACTTAAGTAGAGGTTCTAAAAATAAGCTTTCTATGTGATATATTTGTAACACCCTCTAGTCAATATATTAAATTTGGTAACTGGCACTTATGGTAAATCTTGATTTTCAAAGCTACAGTAGTGTTGGAAACTTTAACAAATGGTGGTTGTGGGTTCTAATCTTTGAAATTGAAAGAAGCTCACTGTGGATAAGCAAAATTAGTTGTCTTCAGGTCCCCAGGATGGTAAAATATTTGTTCATTTAAAAGGATTTAAACCAATCCTATATTAATCCTTGTGACTCCTTGTGTTGGCAAAGCGCAGGCATACGTGTACGTTATTTGTAGTTGGCGACATACCAACAACGCTATGATATAAACCGGCCAATGACTCCCGGGATATACCTTTTCTAGGAACGCCCTGACGTTATTCTTGCTATTTTTAGATCCTTACAGCATCCATGAGTGCAAACAATAGCTCAATTTCCTAGTAGTCTGTGGTATATGAAGACTTTTGCATATACGCAATACATACTGCAGATAAATATAGTTCTTTTTCACTAAAAATAGAAGAGATTTTTTTTTCACGCTTGCAGATAAGTACTACGCTTGTACTACGTAAGGAGTCTGGGCTTTAAGGAATACACATATAAAAAAGAAATAAAATAGAATACAACACTCCTTGCGTGGATCTAGCCTCGTTTCAAAAGCGTACAGTAAAGTTTAAAGCCTGTCAATCAATTAAAAAAGCATTAATTATTCACATCTCATTTACTAACTTCCTTTGATCATCATCTTTCATCATTATCAAAGCAAAGTAATGGTGTTAACCTATTTCATACTTGTGAACTTTTAGTGGAAAATGCTGAAAGTACACAAATGACGGAGCATTAATACATTACGATATACATATAAGTTCAAATCACGCAAGGGAAAAATTAAAGTAATGCTGTAGACATTGTAATACCAATATTGTGACTTTTATAGGAATTCCATTTACGTATTTTCAAATATCAATGCTTAGTGACAAAATGACACGGAATGACTTGGGAATAGAGACTACAAATAAATACAATGAATTGCAGACTAACCCAAAGTCCCATGTTAATCCTAAAAAGTGCTAAGGGCAACTGAAAGTCGCAAATATTTCGATTGTCATATCTCTTTAAATGTCTGATCTACATTCACACTTCCTTATAAACAATCTTAAATTGACAGAATATCAATCAAGTTTGAAGTTGATTTTCTAAATATTAACCTCCGAGATATTACTGAATCAGATCTTGCATATTGAAAATACTACAGTATTATTTACAGTTTTGAACCAATTTCGATAAAACTTGGTGTGTGTATATTCATAAATCTTCCTTTAGCGACATTTAGGGGTAGAGATCACATGAAATAACTGAACACAATTTTATGTTTTAATACACACCGTTTCAACAATTTACATTGTCATCTTCACCTGATTATTTAATATATAAATTTAAATGAATATCTAGTTCAAATTTGAGCGTTTTTCAAGCCTCAGGCACACAAGCGGTCTTGGTTGGAGATTTTTGTCGCCGATTAGAGTCTTGTCTTGAGTTTCAATGACTGGTATGAGCACACGAGAAGACAAAAATCTCCAGTTGGTCGTTTTCCACCTTGTCGATAATCATGTGCGGAGCATGCAGTTGAAAGGAAAAGGAATCCAATTGGATGATGATGGTCTGTCTTGCAGACTATAAAACTATGGGAGACAAGTATCAAACTTGTTTGATATTATAAATCCTGTCGGCTACGCGATCATCTTGTCGTGGAGCATGAGCACACGCAAGATTTTACTCAAGATTGGAGTCAGAGACAAAAATCTCGTGTGGCCGAATCTTAACATACAAAACAATGGCCAACCTGTCCCTCCCTTTAACCGATTCGACAAAATTCAGTGTAGTTACACTTTAATCAAGTTTAAATTTGAAGCTCTGAAGTGGACGTTTAGCAATCTTTTTTATCAAGGGCCAGTCTTTTAATAATGGGGATTATAGTATTCCGTTATCAGGAAGACTACATCAGAACCCATTTTCTACTTCATATGTTATCGTAAAACAGTCAATATATTACGGCTTAAAAAAGTATTATCTTGATTCTGAAAATCTAACTTTATCTCTCAATCAAGACAGCCTTTAGGAGACAATTAATTATTCATTAATTGATAGGACTATTCTGATATTAAAGCCAGACAATGGATAAGCCTTTAACAATTATTAAAGCACCTGAACTGGATTCCACTTCCATTACATCCTGTTTAAAGTGGCATACAGTAATGTGGTTACACGTTAACTTCATGGTGGATGAATGTTCATTGTGTCTGTCTGGGAATTTGATTTTCAAATTTCAATAAAAATGTCAACCGATGTTAATAATACATCATTATTGGAAATATTTCAATGTGATTGTCTTAAAATAAAATGAAATGAATGGAGTTTTACTTCCTACTCTTTTGCATCTAATTCGGCTAATGAAGACATGCAACGCCACGCAGTGCGAAATGAGGACAATTTTTGCCAGAACAGCCACTGAAAGGGGAAAACCCAACTGTAACATCATAATGCATACAACTGTAAAATCATAATGCACACAACTGTAAAGTCATAATGCACACAACTGTAAAATCATAATGCACACATCTGTAAAATCATAATGCACACAACTGTAAAGTCATAATGCATACAACTGTAAAATCATAATGCACACAACTGTAAAATCATAATGCACATATCTGTAAAATCATAATGCATACAACTGTAAAATCATAATGCACACATCATGTAGCCTTATTGAAAAATTCATCGATACTTGATCTTTGACTCTTGTTTTGCTGCTTTTTCAAGCAAACTAATTGTATTTGCGAATTTTTTTTTTAAATATAAATTTCTAGACAATTGTTCTTTTAATAAAAGTTTAAATCCTAACCTATTGTTTGAACTTATTGGAAGGATTCAATGTCTGGACCCAATCCTAATCGCTAACAATCTTAAATCATGGGGCTTAAACAGATATAATGGCTCACTTTTATCTATCACATGAAAATGAATACCTAGCGTAAGGTTCTTCTATGATTTATAGCTTTAATGGTTACCTAAGTATCAGTTGGTTAGCGTTGAAGTATATTCTTAACAATCCTTGTTTTAAAAGTATACACATAGAAAAGTGCCTACATACTTGATTTTTACCCTGTTGGACTGCTTGTTCCTGTAAAACTTTTATACTTTATGTTCAGAACTGTTGGAAGACCTGAAGATTTTCTCAATGGAGGTTTAAAAATGAACAAATTAGTTATTAATACTTCTTTTAAACTTGAGTTAAATATAACGTCACTGAACCTGAACTCTAAGTAATAAAAGTAAAAGTTAGCGTTGTATGACATCACTTTGTAACCACCGGTATACGGGCTGCTCGGTTATCAATTGCATTAGTGTGTGACTGGTAAACCAGTTGAAAGGGTTATGAACGGAACCGATGAGTTTTGTGTGATGGTCTGATGGCCCAACCACAAGTGGTGTCAGAATGGTTCTCAGAATCAGAAGGTTACAAAAATATTTTTTTCAGTGAATCATCTTGGTATGGTTTGCCACATTCAGGTTCTTCCTTTCATGAATTTTGTTACCTTATCTCTTACAACAAAAAAAAACCGATTCCTTCAACAAATTTCTTAAAAATGCTCTTAGAGGCTATTATCACAGGTTACTAACCAAAGACTGTTCAAGGTTAAAGTGATACTACGTCTTA